TTTTTTTTTTCAAACAACATAATCACTCAAATTGAACCAAAATAAATGAAATGTACACGGGGAAGCCCTGAATCCGCAAGCAATGGGAGGACAAATACATCATGTACTGCCTAACCAATACAATAACAACCAAGACTAAATCCCAACATCTCAACCTAGTCAAATCAAAGCAAAGAAGATAAAATAAGTACATAACACTGCAGAAAGATAAGGACACCATTGACTTGAGACCTAGAGCCTACAGATAAGGACACCATTGACTCGAGACCTAGAGCCTACTCTGCTGCATGAGTTATCTCCTGGATTTGCTAAGTGAGAAGTCGAGCCAGTCCTCGGACTGCCGTTTTCTCTCAAATACCCATAAATTCCTTGCACGCCATAACCACCATAATATATAGGTGGAGAGTTGGATTTCTTCATAAAACTAATCCACCACCACCATTCTTTAAAGCTCAGGTGCTCCTCAGAGACTCTTTTCATTGGACTGGTGCTATCTTCCAGGTAGTCTGTGCTCTCTTGCAAAGGAATAGAGTATGTTCTTGTGTCTCTTCACTCTCTCCACAGACATGGCATAAGTTGTCAATCTCCAGACCCCTACTAGCTAGATTGGTGTTTACAGGTAAAATATTAGTGAAACATCTCCAGATAAAGTGTCTAATCTTTCCCATGACTTGGAGTTTCCAACATCTCAGTCTAGCATCTATGTTTCTCCCTGCCATCTCACTTGATTCTGCCTGATTCTTGTTGTAGATCTTCTCTTTCATCATCGCTGCATAAGCATTCCTCACTGAGAATGATCCTTTAGACAGAAAAGGTTACTTCCATAGATCATTTGCTCTGGGATTAAGAGACTTAATCTGAAGGATTTTTTGTGCATCAGCCTCTTCAAATAACACTTCCACAATTGTTTCATCCCAACAACACCCACCTGCAGTCATCAAGTCTTTCAACCCAAAAAGCATGCCCATCAATTTGCACTTTAAGGTTTGGTTTACCTCCCTGAATCCCAGGCACCCAGTTAAAGTCACTAAGCCTAGTGTTACTTCCATTTTTAACAATAATGGTTAAGTTCTTCCTCATAATGGGGATAAAAGACACCCAAGAATTCCAAAGCCAAGAAGCACCATTAGATTTAACAACTTCAAAAATAGACTGCTTAGGGAAGTACTTACTCTTCAGAACTCTACTGACCAGTAACTCAGGATAAGCTATGATTCTCCACAGTTGCTTGAGGATTAGAGCTGAGTTGAAAATTCTGATATCTTGAAATCCCAACCCACCTTCTAGCTTTGGAATAGCAAGCTTCTCCCAAGCCAACCAATGCATCCCAGGGTTCTGGACATCCCCTTTAGCCCACCAGAACTTTGCAACCAACCTGCAGATTTCTCTACACAACCCCACAAGGAGAACAAAACAAGACATGATAAAAACAGGAAGGGCATTCAAAACTGACTTCACCCTATAGAATTTAACAGTAATTTCTGAGTGTCTAGCTTTTCTCCTTACTAATACTTCTCTGCCAACAATAGATAAACATATTTTTCCAGCTATCAATTCTATCTTTCACAGAAGCAACAACATATTGAAAAGAGTCTCTTTTAGAGGCTCCAATACCCAAAGGTAAACCAAGATACTTGGAGGATCTCTTGATTACCACTCATCTGAGCACTGAGCAAATTTGAGATCTGAGGGAGCTACTGCAATTTGAGCTTATAAACATGGAAGACTTATTTAGATTCACCTTCTGGCCAGTAATTTTTTGATACTTGCCAAGAATCTCCAACAACAACTGGGCATGGCACACATCTGCCTTCCAAAAAATAAGGGCATCATCTACAAATAGAAGGTGGGTCATAGTCATACTAGGCCCATCCCTAAAAACCTTTATCCCCTGAAACTGGCCACTATGCACTTTGTGACTAAGGAAAGCAGAAAACAGTTCTGACACCAGAATAAATAGGTAGGGTGACAGAAGGACACCCTATCTAATACCCCTGGTTGGAGAGGTAAAGCCACACACACTGCCATTCAAATTGAAGAGAATGAAGAAGAAGAGATGCAACCATATATCCATTTCACAAACTTAGAATGAAATCCCATCCTTTTCATAGTCAGTTTAACACTCTCCCACTCCACCCTGTCATATGCTTTCTCCATGTCAAGTTTTATAGCCATAAACACATTAGCACCAGACTTGTGTCTATGGAAGAAGTGAAATACCTCATGAGCAAGCACAACATTATCTAACAGCTACCTACCGGGGATGAAAGTAGTTTGAGAATGACTAACACAATCATTGAGGACAAATTTCAACCTCTCAACAAGAATTTTAGCCACAATCTTGTACAGCACACCACATAGACTAATTGGTCTATAATTGCTCAGAGATTCATGTAATAAACACTTAGGAATAAGAGTGATTACTGTATGATTCCAGTTTTTAAGCATGACCCCAGAATTGAAAAACTTCTAACAGCACAACAAACATCACTTTTAACAATATCCCAAAAATGTTGAAAGAAAGCAACAGTCATACCATCTTCCCCCGGGGATTTTTCTGGTGCCATATTAAATAGGGCTACTTTTATCTCCTTCTCAAGAATAGGCTTGATTAGGTCATTGTTCATGGCATCTGACATTGAATGAGGAATCTGTTGGAGGAGCTCCTCACCATCCCTAGCCCCTTCTGATTTAAAAAGTTGATTGTAATATTTTGAAATGTAAGCTTCCATTGTCTCCTTAGAATCATACTTCTCCCAGTGCCGGAAATAAGGAATTGAATAGAGTTCCTTTTTCTTCTGTTATTAGTAAACGCTGGAAAAACCGGGTGTTCCTGTCTCCACTTTTCAACCACAGAGCTTTGGATTTAAGTCTCCAAAAACTCTTTTCCTCCTTATGTGCATCTTCCAAGTTTGCTTTCATATTTCCCCATATATCCCAGTCTACATCACATCCTTCCAGTCTCATATCCTCCAATTTAGAAGTGAGGGTTTAAATCCTCTTCACATTGTCTCTCTTCAAGGGCTTATACTAGGCCAACAAATCCATCCTGGTATTTTGAACTTTCCTCTGCACTTGAAACATCTGGGAGCCTTCAACCACAATATCCCATCCACTTGCCACAGCTTCAGATACACCATCCATTCCCAGCCATTTGCTATCAAATGCGAATCTTTTCTTTGTCTGAGTCTTCTCCATATCATAAGAGAATAAGAGCACATTGTGGTCTGATGCACTCCTAAAGA